CTAACCAGCAAAGGGAAGGGGGGAGGAAAAATAGAAGCTCGCCTAGAAAGCTTAGTATTTTTTTTTTTCTCTTTCAGATGTGTAATCAATCATTCGAGTAGGAGGCAGCAAAATTGTAAAGATTCGATAGATTAAAATGCAAATGAAAGGTAGAAAAAGAAACATTAACATGGCAATCAAAGATTTAATAATCGTAAATCACGGTGGGGTTTTTTTGTTGCAGCTGCAGTTTGTGTGTTTTTTATGTTTTAATCATGTTCGTTCTATAAATAAATAATTTCTGAAACGAGACTAATTTTTCACTATTTTAACCGTGGGCTATGGCACTAAATGTATTTTTTTTTTTAAGTATGGAACTCCAGATTGCAAACTATCAGACCAGAAAAGGGGAAAAAATAGCTAAGTTGGATTAGTTCACATCTGAAATTTCAAGTACAGTGTCTTCACCCCATTGCTTCGCAGTGCCGACTGCTTTACTTTCCAATTGAAATCCTTATAAAGTTTATTTGGAAACGTGGATGTTTATGTAAAAGCAGACGAGCGGCGTTTCTTTACAAGGCTAACGGTAGCGCCAACCCTCATTCCTGGAGGATATATAGAAAGATAAAATATATAAATACACACACACATATATATAGGGAAAAGAGCAGTATCACTTAGGCTGTAAGTGTATTGCTTCCAAACTAAGGGTTGCTAAATTTCCAAGGCAAGGATGAGGGGGGTAAACCTGGGGTGAGAGCTGATCAATGAAGGAAGGACGAGCTGGAGAGGATTTGCTCTCTGCCCTCGGTTTAGAGCTGCGCGTTAAAGGGAGGCATCCATTGGGGCTGCCTGGGATGTCTGTGCCAACCTCAGCATCGCCTTGCCCTGGGTCGCGTAGACTTGGCTTTGATTCCCCCAAGCTCCGGGTTTAGGGGTGCACCAGCTTATCCTCTGGGAAAGCGGCTCGGAAATAATTCTTTTAACTTTTGAACGCAGCAGATGGAGTTCATTTTGTGAGGCGAGGAGCGGGGGAAGGAGTTAATCTTTACTTCGTTGGTAATCTTTATAGATCTGGGGAGAGAGAAGGGAGAGGGGGAAAGAGCCCCGCTGGCTGCTCAGGTTCGGGGGGTTTCAGCTGCGCTGCCCTCGCTTATAGAGCTCTCGGAGTCGCTTCAATGCGATGAAAATAAGCTGGTAAAAAAACAACTAAATGAGGGGAACGAGCCGCGTTTCTGAGCCCTCCTCCTCCACCCCGTACCCCCGTCACTCCCTTCCGGGGCTCCCGTCCCCGGCTCCCTACGAGGGGCGGCCACCACCGGGCCCCGCGCATCCTCCGCGGCCGAGCTTCGTGGGGATCAGACGGTGAAGGGGCCCTGCGGAGCCCCAAAGCAGCCCTCCACGCCATCCCTCCGGGCAGGTACCCGGCCAAACGCTTCGAGATGGGGGGCGGGGGGGGAACAGGAGCGTTGGTGTACCAAGTGTTTTTTCCCACCCAAATACTATTAAACCCATTTGAATTTTTAATTCTCTTTTTCATCCCCTCCCCAGATGGGGTGTCCCACAAGGACGGGCCCGCCCGGGGGTGCCCTTGCCCCGCACGCCGGCTGCCGGGGCCGCGCTCCGGGCGCTGCCCGGGACTTGTTGTCTGCCAGGCGGGGAGCGGGGCCCGGGGGGGGGGTCCGGGGGGGCCGCCGCCTCCCGCAGCCCCTGACCCCGGCATGCACGGCGCGGCTCCATTGATCATCCCGGCCCGCCACCCCCTCCCTTTATGAGATAATGCAATTACAAACATCAATAAGGAGCTGCGAGGGGAATCATTATGCGGTGACAGTGATAAATGACGGTGCAGAAATAGCATGCTTTTTTTTTTTTTTTCCTTTTTTTTTTTTTTTCCTAACAATCCAGGGGCTTTGGGGGCTGAGCACAGTCACCAAGGTAACAGATGACATCCAAAATGGCACCAAAGGAAAAAAAATGAACAGTCTTTCTTTTGCCTTTCACTCTTTTCCCCCTGCTCTTCCAAAAGAGTTACTTGGGGCTTTAGAAGCAGCTGCCACACAGGCATGCGGTTATTTCCACACGCATTAAAGAGACGGCGAAGGTTTGCTGGCTGTCACACACAAAGCGGCAGCCCGGCCCGGAGCTGAGCACCCACCTCCAGGCAGCACCTCGGAGGCAGCAGGGGGGGTCCCCGGACCACGCACGATCGCGATGCGCCCCGCACCGACCAGCCCGGCCCGGCCTGCGCCCAGTGTCCGCCGCCTGCGCCGCTGCTCGGGGAGCGCGGCTTTGCTCTTACGTATATATAATATGTATATGTATTGTCATCCTGGGCGGCACAAGGTCAGGGGAGAGGGTGAACACAGGTTTCCACGCGGGCTCAGGACGCGCGGAGCGCTAGGGCTTTCCCCGCAGCAGCGCAGAGGGTAGGAATATTCACCTCGTGTCCGAAAAGTGCCGCTTCTGAGCCCAAAAGTGCCTGTGGCCGCAGCAGGCACGGCCGGGCTGGCAGGGCAGGCACCCCCGTCACCAGTCTCTCTGCCCGCCAGCTTGATGCTCCCCCTAAAAACCCCAACCCTTGTGGGGTGCCGAAATTCACTCCAGGGCAGGGCAGGCCCCGCGCAGCCATGAGCGCAAATACCGCGCTAACGGGTCTGCCTCCCCGTCCCTCCGCCCCCGCCCCTGTGAGGAGAGAGTAAAGCTTTGCGCTCCCCTTACGCGGCACTGCGCGCATACGGCTCCGCGGGAAGCTGTGCTGGGGGGGGGGGAGCACAAAAAAGAAAAGGGAGAGGGAAAAATTAGGACTGTTTAAATAAAGAGAGGAAAAAAAGGGGGGGGGGGGGAGCGGAGCTGGGAGGAAACTGAAGCCCGCCGGGGGTCGCACAAACTTTGGGAATGCGGCGCGCAATGTCCGCGGAGCTGCGCGGGCGACCGAGGAGCCCCCAACACCCCCCACCCCCCGCGGCACTCTCCCGAGCCCCCAAGAGATGGCAGTCGAAGCCGGCTTTCCTCCTCCTCCTCCTCTTCCTCCTCCTCCTGCTCCTCCGCGGCTGGCAGAGGCAGGACAGCGAGGCAGCGAGACCCCCCCGCCACATCCGCGCCCGCTCCCAAACTCCGCCGCCATCCGCGCAGCGCCGCGCAGCGAGGTGCGCGTTCCCGCGGGGCGCGCAGCCCCAGACGCCGGGGCGCTGAGTCGCAGCCGGGCGGCCTCCTCCGACCCCCACCCCCATCCCCCCCCCCCCCCCCCCGGGCGGCCTCCCCCGGTGCGGTGAAAGGAGGTAGCTAGGAAACAGCGAGCGGCCCGAAAAGGCGGAATTTCCAACGTGTAAAATGTTCTTAACGGAGCCATTGAGAGAGTGCAATAAGGCGTGAGGGGGAACTAATCTCCCCATTTAAATGTTTGTGGCAATTTTATCTAAATGAATTTTAATGCTAAACGAGGGATAATTCCCTATTTGTAACCCGTTTACTTCTCTTTCCTGTGCCTCTGAAGCTGTCTAACATCGTGCGATGAACAATAACAATAAAAATACTGTCAAGGCATATTCTTCATTTTGAATGTGTTATAATTACAGCTGATTAAATGTCTTGGGATATAATAGTGGGCTCAATTTGAAATGTGGGTGTTTTGTCTTCCCCCCATAAAAAAAGTCCCATGGAGGAAGGTCTGTGCCCCACTTCTCCGCGGCTGCGAGGAGGAAGGGACGCGTGTGCCCTCACATGCAAGAGGGCGGTTTGTTTTTGTCTTTCAAGAAACATAAAAAAAAAACAAAACCCAAAACTAAACACAACAACAGCGACCAAAAAAAAAAAAAAAAAAAGAAAAAGGAAAAAAAAAAAGGAAAAGAGGAGAAAAACACACACACAAAAAAAAAGCAAAAAGCAAGCCCCTTTCATTCAGGTTTTGGCAGAAAAATGTCATTATTCCGGGCTCACAAAGCGGGAGCGGGGATGTGCAGCCTTTTAGGAGGTAGAGCGGCCCTTTAAAAAATGGGAAAAAGGGAAAAACAAAGAAAACTCAGGAAAAAAAAAAAACAGAAAAAAAAAAAAGGAAGGGGAGGAGACCCAAGCTGCAGGGGGGAGGACCCCACTTTGGTGGCTTGCTTCATTCAAGATCTGTGCTGCCTGCTGCCAGCCCTGCCTGTACCCCTGACTTACCCCCATCCAGCTCCAACCCTCCACCTCAGGAGGACAAGCAGGGTGGGCAAGGGGGTGCCCCCGGAGCACCCCCCGACAAAGGCGGGGAGGGGGTTGCGGCAGGTTTGGATGGGGTGCAGGGGAGCTGTTGTATGATTTTGCTTTAAGAGATTTGCATGATTTTCCTCCCCCCAGGAAACTCCGAGTTTATTTATTTATTTGTCTGTTTACATTTATTTCTTTATTATTTATTTGTTAGCAGCTGGGATTTTATTTAAGAAAACTCAAAGGTCTTGCAGCCGACCCAGGCTCTTTGGTGCTATTTAACTCGCTGGCTGCGATGCAGAAAGTACAGCTGTGTGAGGAAATTGGTTAATGAGGAGAGGACGGCCTGCACCAGCCTGCGCTCACAAGAGGTCCAGCAGCCCCTTGCACCACCACGTTATTTCACTTACAAATATGCATTGCCCGGGCAATGGCTTCCAAGTTTTATTTTCCTCCTTCCTTAATATGTTCAGGTCCAGAAAGAAACATATGTGAGTGGCTCCAAGAATTCAGACTGTGCATTAGAACTCAATTTGGGGTGGGGGGTAATACTATTTACAAATTTCTGTCCACTAATTCCCTGTAATATTACATTTATTAAGAGGCAACAGTTCCCATCCTGACTATTTACAGTGCAAGTTCCAAGCAAGTTTCCTTGTGCAGCACAGCATTACTTTTACATTCTTTAAACATGAAGCCAATATTTAAATAGCAATGCGAGGTATGCCTCTGGAGCTAGCTGAATTTTGTAGCTTCTTGGATCCCAGTTTGGGATAGAATGGCTACAAATACTGAAGGGGGGCAGGAAACAAATTTTGCAAGCAGTGGAGTCACCATGACAAAAAATAATTTGTTTTTATTTTAGATTCAGATTTCATTACTGCACTCAAACTACTACAACTGGGCTTTGAGTTATTATACAATCCAAACTGTTTCAATCAGAAACTCTAAGACTCAGTGTGCAATGATTATTATTAATAATAATTAGCTCCTTGGTTTCTTGATAGAAAAAGGCTATCAACAAGCATTTGTTTAACCACAACAAAAGTATAATTAGCTTATCCCACTTAGTAAATCTGTATGCATGCCAACTCATACCAAACTGCTACTTTTACAAAAAATTGCAATAATACAGATCATTTTTCCAGTCCTTTTTGCACAAAATTTATTTACAATGTATACATAAATGCTCCATGATGGGACTATGGGGAAAAAAAAAATGCACACGACCGATGTCTTGCCCAGAAAGAAAGTCAACATATTAAAAATAAATCTTCAGTCCATGTTTCTTGCTGCATAAAACAGGAAGTGATGTACAAGGTGGTGGTTGCTGCATGGGGACAAGGATGCTCTGATGTGACAATTAGGCTTCAAATACACTGCCTTTCCGTTTCCATGCTTCCTCCTACCAGTCTCCTTAAGACACTGCCTGCAACAGCTGATTAATCATTGTTGATGACTGCAGTTTTTCCCATCCTTCCCGATTTACATCTGTTCAGGCCAATTCAAATATGGTGAGTAAATGAATTAGACATGCAAATTCACGCCCCAGGCTAGAAAGAGAGAGAGGGAGAGAGACAGGGAGAAAGGGAGAGAAAGGGAAGAAAGAGAGAGAGGAGAGAGGGGGGAGAGAGAGAGTGTGCATGGCTGAAATCCTAGGATAGAAGAAAGATTCTTCTGCCTGACATAGTTATTTTAATGCTCTAAAAATCCTGCAAATAAGCCCTTTCTGTCATTTGCAGGATAAGTGTAAGGCTTCTTTTTCAATGTAAGGAGGCTTCTGGAGGAAGTGAAGAGCTATGGAAACAACACACATAGTGTGGAAAAATTTCACATTTTTTTTAAAAAATCTATAAGAAACAACGTAATATGGATAACAGTATAATAGCATTTTACAATATTTCACTCTTTGTTCTCTTAATGTCTTATATAGGTATTTAGCATGTCCCCAGAAGTTGACTTCGGTTGGTGTTTTCCTGCTTTTCAGGGTCCCTGTGAAGAATCGGAACGTCCCTTGGTCCAAAGTTGAAGCCAAGAACTCCATAGTCATTGCAGAAAGACAATGTTTGAAATCTACCGTTGCTGCAGACAACGTGTATTTCCCTTAAGCTACTGAGCATGAATGTCCATCACTTGTCCGCTCACTGCCGGCTCGCCGGTATGAAGCATTGTGGGGCTTGATGCTGACATGGGCATTCCAGGGTGGGGTGGTCCTCCATGCATCATCATCGCTGGGTGGTGAGGGTGTCCAGGAATGTAGGTATGCATGGGGGGGCCATGACGCAGCTGAGCGGGATGAGGGGGCATCTGGGGTGGGGTATAGCTTGGCTGTCCCATATTCATACCCATTGGACTACCCCGAGACACATAATCCCCTGGCATACTTTGCAGCCCTGCGGAGAGAAAGAAGTGGTGGTGAGTGCTGGGGATCAGCTATGGACATTGGGCCACGAGGCTCCTCTGCTTGGGCACGGGAAGGCTGGACTTGAGCCCAAGGCGGGATGCAAAGTCATGGATGTGTAAGTGCAGCTGCCTTTGTGGGATTGGAGTCTATGTATGGACTCACAACAACGGCAACAGGAATGATTCTCAGGTCATAAACCCCCTCCAAGTACATCCTCCCCCCTCCAAATACAGAGTTCTGGGAGATAAAACCACTTTCTGCTTTTATGGTTAGGAACGTATGCGATGGAGATATTTCCGATCTGGAAGCCTGCCCAAGGCAGAGCCAGCCTGATGACGACTAATGTCACACAGGGTGGTGGCACCAAGCCGGGAAAGCCCTTGTGAGGGCTCTTAGGTGGGCTCCATCCCCCATGGCCTTGTTCCAGCTACCCGCCTTCATCTCCCCACTTGTAAAAGTGTGCTGGGAATACAGGGCAGGGAATCAGTAGTAGTTAATGAGGGGCTTGGGAGGAGAGATGAGTTAAATCAGTGTCGAGATTTATCAACAGTTATTTATTTAGCTCTTGAGCCCCATCACTTGGAATCTGTCCCAAGTATTTGTGCCATTCAAACAGACACTATACAGCAAGCACATACATCACTGAACAAAGGCCTCATATGAAGCCGAAATTGATAGGATTACTAAGGGCAATTGTTAAATCAAACCTGTATTTTTAAATGCATTAAAAATATATCTATAATCAATAACAGTTATCAATTAATTCTTTCCCCTTGCTCACTTCTGTCTGAAAAAAAATCAGACGCGCAACTCAGTCAACCTTGCAGTGGGTTTGGGAGAACAATAAGAAAAAAATTGGACCTAAAACAATAAAACCTCCTGCTTTCTGTGGGCCTCTGCCTTCTGCTTGGATTGCTGTAGCTGATGGGAACTGACAGGTGTATTGTTTCGGAGAGCTATAAGCTCCATAATCATCAAGGGTGAAAGGCATACGCTATTGCTAAGTAGGTTCAATTGGCTTTAGTTCTAAGTAAGAGCGCGCTGTGAATGCGCCGAACACCTTGGAATCAGGTCTCAAGACTCTAGCAATGAATAGCTGCTTAATCTAGCCTAAAGGAACAGTTTTGAACTAATGAAAATTGCTTATAAAATATACTGTACTCACAGCTCTTTAATCAAAAAAGATGATAATATTTTTTGTAATAACCTATTAATTTAATTGGTCACGAAGCATAAAATACATCATTTAAATTTAATTGACCCAGAAACTAAGAAACAATATTTAAATTAACTAAGCTAGAAATTTCCATGATGAGGTAATAAGGCTGTTGCATTCCCAAGCTCAGAGGAATGTTTTCACAGCTAATTGTTAAAACTTAGTTTTGACTTGTACCCAGAGAAGACGACTATGAAATACACTTGGCCTGGGTAACTTCAAACCCTGCGTTAATATTGGCTGGGGGTACAAGAAAGATGCCAAAATAACTGCTTGTAACTCTAGAAAGAGAGCGAAAGAAACAGAATCAGGCACCATTTAAACACGGTACTGGTGCCTTGGTGTTTCAAACTGCTTTGCTCTTTAAAGAAAAAAAATATTAAAAAAAAAGAAAGAAAAAAAAGGTGTATAATGTATTTTCCCTTATAAAAAGACAAAAGGGTGGGGGGAAACTGGGGCAGTTTTTCTAGGCTTTCTTCGGGAGGCCTGCCACTGAAGATTGCATTAATGATCTCTATTTTTGTATACTGAATAAGTCAAATCCATTTGTCACACTGCAAGTGATGGCATACTTAATTTGGATATAGTCAATTAGCCTGGGCTAAGCTCCATAGCCTGCTGCGCACACCTCTATTTTGTATTCTCTCTTTTTCCTTTGCCACACGTAATCCCATTATGACGGACAGACAAAGAGAAATAAACTTGGGGGGGAAAAAAATTAAGAAAAAAATCCCCAAAGTTTGGTCCATCGCCTTCCAAAAAGCAACTAAGTGAAGCCACAGCTTATTTTTTTTTTCACCTATGAGAACTCTCTGTTTGGTTTTTTTGGTGTCTTGCAGGTTAGCAGGAGAAATGTAACTCATGCATCAACTGCGGTTAGACAGATTTATGACACTTTGGGGACATGCTCTTTCCTCTCCCTGCGCTGCTGCAGACCGCTTACATTTTGCAAATCAGTCTGTTGCCAAGACGACGGGCTCCCCCACCTCCCTGGCTGCTTCTTGTTTTGTCATGTGCTCAGGGATGGATAATAGCATCAATGTATGGCGGCGTCGATGTACGGCGGCGTCAGTGTACGGCGCGCGCGCGCACACGGGTTTTGGGAGCTTGGAAAGCTTGAGCTGAACCAGAAGGACAGAAACCCAAAGGAGCCCAGGCACAGGATGGATGGATGGAAAGGAAGGAACAAGCATGAGGCTATGGGCAGGGAGAACATAGGGAAATGTAAGGAGACAAATATCCCTCGGACAAAGTGAGAACAAAGACCCCGTTTGTACTTACTTCCCCCTGGCTTTGCCATTGGTTACCTAGGTGAAGGTTACATGTAGTGCCACTGCCCCTCCATGCCCATATTCATGCCCATTCCACTCATAGGTCCTAGAAGGAGATAAAAATCCAAGAAGATGCCAGAGAATGAGCAAAGTCAACAGATAGTGCCAAAAGCCCCTTTCCAAAACACAGCATGGCAGAGAGTCCAGGACCCCTCGAGAGAGAAGATGCCTGGTTTCCCTTGGTGACTGAAAGCAGGCAGAAGACAGGCAAGGCAAGGCAGACAGCTGAGACGACGGTGAAGGGCGGAAGAGTGGTTACCTGTGGTGGCATGACTGAGATCACCCATCAGTGGGTGACGCTACCCCGAGGGCTTACCTGGCGCTCGGATGCCCATGTGCTGCTGGCCGTCCATCACAAAACCTCCCATCGGCTGCCCGTCAGGGTTATAGGGTGTGCCTTGACTTACTGGAAAAGTGTAGAACATTGCATTTTAGCAACAGCCAAAAGGGGCACCTCTCGTGTCAAGACACAACCCCCCTATCTATGGACTCTGTGAGACAGCTATCAGTGCTGGCTCTAATAAGAGTGAAAACCATCTACTGCTCAAATTGAGAGGCTGGGCTAACACACTTGCTTGGTTTTGGCTTAATTTCCTACTGCGAGTTTGGAAATGAAGTTAGCGATCCGAAATCTCGAGACATGAGGAGCCCCAGCTCCAGCTGCTGCCACTGCTGACGTCAATGCAAAGACCTGTATAGGAGCTGGATTTTATGGCTGGAATAGTCACACTGAAATTGCAGTGTGTTAAATTACGCCCGTGTGCCTTTCTAAGAGCAGGACCTGAACACATTCATGCCAGATATTTACCTCTAATGACAAAATAATCGAATGTACTCAAAAAGGAATTGTGGCCCAAAGGCATCTAGGACAACGATGGATTTGGATAGTCTGGCAGTGAGACTTGGGAAAGCAAAACCAACTGGGAATAACTGGCTATTCTTCAATGGTAAATACCCACACAGAGCTGCGAGCCAAGACCCCAGACAGAACCAGCATGTGAAAACTTAAGATTTTTTACAAAATAAAAAGAAATTCCCCCAAAGGAAATGCCAAATACTCATCAATCCCCAAAGACAGCTACTAAGAAGAAGAGACAAGGGACAAAAGGATCCTATACAAGTACCACTACCTGAACTCGAGGTTTTAACTGTACATTAAAAGCCAGCTTCAGAAGTAAGCTGCCTTGGGTTATTAAAGCACATAAAGCTCTACCTCATTGAATGTCTTTGAACTTTACTGAGTCCCACAAGCGATTCTGACCCCTTTGCCCTTTTGACAGGTAATAAAGTTTACAGCAATTCCACACCAAGCCATGCACCAGGGAGTGGTCATAGGAGCAGAAAGAGCTGGGAAGGAAAACTCAAAACAACTACTTGTATGTGTATGGGAAGTCCAGTCATGGAGTGGATCATTTTAGTTTCTTTCTTTGAATTTTCAATTTTTTTCCCCAAATGTTTTAATCATGTCAAAATTATTAGGGTTGTAATGAAAGAAAGCTGGTTGCATTTTAATTGTCGATCACTCCCAGCATTCATTTCTCATTTATTTACCAGGTAATGGACCTCCCGGTGAATGGCTTGAGCATGTTTTTTGTCTGCGTGACTTGAATACAGCTACTATTGGGGACTTACCTGCTCGATTGGACTGGTCTATCATGGGCTGAACTATTCTTCTTCTAGCATTAATAAACCTGCAAGATAAGAAAGCAAACGGTTAGGAAAGGGATGACTTCTACCCCTCCCCAAGCCCTCTCGCCCAACTCTGTCAGGCTGCGAAGGGATGCAAATACTGCAAAACCTCTAACCCTGATGACCTTTTGAGAGCACAAGCTTGGGGTTTCCAAGCTGATTTATGTTTGCCTGCTTTCTACCACAGTCAGACACTTCCATTTCATCTTTTCATGGGGGAATTAGCAGAGTTTTCAGGAAACAATACCAGCAATGCTCTTCTCGATTCAGAATGGGGCACAGAAATAAAACCAAACAGGTGAAGCCAGCAAGATGCTCGTGAGGGCATCTGCTACCTCCCCCTCATTAGTGCCATTTCTGCCTTATGTCCTCTGACTTTTTTTTCAATTCTTTTTTTTTTTGTCAAAACCTGCCCCTACCTCTCCCAAACCTAATTCCCTTTTAATGCCCACTATTAAGATAATGAACTGTGATGGCAGAAGCCCATCAAACGAGGGAACGTCTGGAGTTTTATCACTGCTAACTCACACTGCTGGGGACTTAAGAGCCCTGCATTCCTCCTAGCCATTTCTTGGTGGGATTTTCTCCCCCCCCTCTTTATGCAAAGTCTGAGGGGTCAAGGCGAGGTCATAGCTTTACAGTAATTGAATTTATAATCCTGTTTTCTCCAGCTAGGCCTGACCATTTACAGCAAACATCTTGTTAAACTGTAATTACTGGACTACTGAAAATTCCCCCTGAACAATGAAAAGCAGATCTTTGGAAATGAAAAAAAAAAAGGTACATTCAGTTTTTTAAAATGGTCATGTGCAACCGTACTCCTCGTACTTTTGTAGCTCTCCGCCTCAGTGAGTCTTGCAATGCTTATTTGGGAAAGGAATATTCAAAATACTTTGGAGCAAAACAGAAGAAGGAGGAGGATCACAACTGCCTCAGTCTCCTCTGTGGGCAGTCCTCACGGCGCTGAAATCAGAAGGCTCAAAACCATGGCTGGGAACCTGCCTGAAGAGCATTAGAAGAACTTCTCTTGTGGTCTCGCTCATCAGAAAGCTCAGTTAAAACCCATTTGGAAAAAATCTTCGCTGAGATTTAATCACAGCAAAGCCTCATGACCAGACTTTACATTCTTTGCAAGAGAGAACAGGAATAATAAAAAATATGTATGCCACAATATCTATCTACTAGTAAAAGGAGAAGCATGAGCCTGGGTAAAATGACACAACACTTGCAGAATGCAATAGGAAAGTCCACAAAGGACTGCTTGCTGCTTGTTTTTGTTGCCTTTGCTTGGAGTGGCTTAGCAGGAGTTCTCCTACTGCAGAGATAAAGCCAATAGGACCTTCCTGCGGGAATCAGCTCTGCACACCCGTTCCCCAAAACCAGAGGGGAGAAGAATCACAAACCACCACCCCATGCTGTTTGTTTTGCCCTCATCAAAGACCAGCACAGTGATTTTGGTCTCCTCCTATCTCCCATTCCCAACTGACGCCTGTTACCAAACTCCAGCAAAAAATTAATCAAGATCTTGAATCCTAACCAAGCCTGTCTCAAAAAAAAATGGGCTCAAAGGCACAAATTCCGGGTGCCGATGTGGAAACCTTACACCTTAAGTAGGTCATGTTTTGCCAGCAAGAGCATTGGATCAATTTTTCTACACATTTCCAATAAAGAAAAAAAAAAAAAATCCTCAACTCCAGCAAACAGTGTTGCAAATCAGTTTATCATTATCTTGTACAAACCATGGAAATTAGAATCATGTGAGCAGAAGGTTAGACTAATTCTCCTTTCTCATTATAAGCACAGGTGTAGCACAAACACCATGTGAAATAAGCAATTAAAAAAAATCTGCCTTTTTTCCCCCATTAGCTGCCTTAGCTCCATGACCAATTAGAAAATTGTTTAATATCTGTAATCTGCATTTGCAGAAAGCAATTTTCACAGTAACTCTCCTAAGTAAAACAACAACACAAAACCCCAGTGCCTCAGTCATTTCTTTCTGCATGCCTGGCAGGCTCTTGCTGTGTTTACTCCATCCTTCTGCCCAATTGCCAGGACCTCTTACTGTGGCAGGAGAGGAAGATTTTTGGTAGCTGTGAGACTGGCTGGTCACTGAAACCTTCATTTGCCAAAAGCTTTTACCTCAAAGAAACCCTGAGCAACATTAAGCACACATACTCCAATTTCACAACCTTCTCTTCCTTCTCCTCCAAACTACAAGTGCTTTTAATAAGAAGGGGGGCTCAAAATCATAAACTATTATAGTTAGATTTTACCAGTAAGTATCCAGAAGATGTGACTATGGTAAAACATATTCTCACCTGTTTGCATCATGCTATAGCTTGGGATATCTCTTTTAAGAACATTTTACGCACAGGTACTTAATAGTTATCTTCTTCCTATGCATTAATGGAAGTATTTTCTATAAGTAGCAATTCTGCCAAACAGCCCTGTGTTTGGATGTCTTCAGGGGGAATTCAGACGCAAGAACATTTTCCTTCTGGGCAAAGTAATAAAATGACATTCTTGCTCCTCCCACTAGAAGTCAAACGGAGGTCAGCTCCCCATCCTTGTATCTGTTTAAATAAACTGGTCCAGCTGTTTGTTTCCAGGGTGCCCTTTAACCTTCTGTCCCATCCTCCCTGCCTTTGTAACAGAACGCTTTACTTTGCATTATAGAAGACTCCAAACCACTATGCATTAAAAAAAAAAAAAGAAGAAGAAAGTATTCACTTTCAAGTTTCTTCCTGCATCCCAAACCTGGAATTCCTAAGAACCCATCAGATTAAAACTACTAATGCAGCTTGCCTTGCGAAAGCACAACGCAGTGCTCTTACATTTACAAATCACAGCTGAGAACTCTGCAAGCCAAACTGCGAATTAGCTGTTACTGCAGAAATATGTGGCATGAGGATAATTTCTTCGTAGTGCTTTTTTTTTCTTTTTTTGTTTGAGAGAAGGGCCAAGATCTTTTGATCAGTCTTTGCATTTCCAAAACATCAGGCTGACATAGCACCGGCAAAATGATGGAACAGAAAAGCTAGGAGGAAAAATCTCACTGCTCCTTTTCCTGCATGTTCATCTTCACCTATCTTAAGAGAAAAAAAAACCCTAAGTCACTCTAACTTTTAAAAGTTCAAAAAAAATAGGACCTAAAAACCATATTTCTGTATTCAGGACTACTAAATGGAGTATTGTCAAAATACAACTCAGCGTAAAACTTAAGTTAATCATTAAGACCGCTGCTTAACCTTACTCATGTGAGTAAAGACCCACAGAGGCTCAAAGACCTGCATATTTTTTCCCATACTAGTGCTCTAAGCATTGGTCCTTTTATTCTGATGTGGCAGGCTTTTTTTGTTTTGGGGTTTTTCTCCACCAAGGAGCAGAATCAGCAGTGGAACAAACAACATGAGATTCCCTTAGTGTACAAGTTGTACGCATTTAAAAGCCCAAGGAGGGCTGAGAACTCTGCAAAGTGATGACTTGGGTTACTTTTGCTTGCTTGTTTTCTTTTTCCTCCTTTTTTCATTCCCCCCCCCCCCCCCAAGGGGAAGAATCTGGCATGGAGGGAACGTTTGAACAGTTGGGCAAACACAGAAGTTTAAGGTATTTATTACTTTTTTCAAGTTAACTTTTCCTTGCCCTTTTGGATACATGAGATTGCACTTTCTGCTGTGTCCCCAAAAGCAAGAAAACCTCAGCTATTCCACCTGCATAGGCCTAAGAGGAGGAGGAAACCCTCTTTTCTCCAATTTGCACTTTACTAGGATGTTTTCTCTTAGGCTTCTCGCCCGGGGTCTGTCTCCAGAGGTCACCAGCAGTCTCCCTGTTCCGTGCATCGCTGGTCCCACGGGTGAGATCCAGACCCAGCCCCGGGGATGCTGCAATCTGCCTCTGCACTCTGACCTTCAGCTTGGCCACCCTCACTGCCATGCACAAGTTTTGTTTCTTCTCAGCAAGAGGCAGCATGGCTGGTGATGACAAAAGACTTATTTTAGTTGGAAATTGGCTACAATAATAGCAGCCAGAGAGCAAGGATTTTCGGAGGGTCACCAAACCCTCCAAAAGGCACAGTTTGTGAAGGCTCAGGTTACAGCCCAAGTGACATTTTCCACACAGATCTGTTCTTTCTCCCTTCCCCTTATATTTCACTTCTGCTGAGTGAATAAAACAAGACCTTCCTCCGCTGTCACCAATTTCCAAAGCCACCTTTGCTCAAGAATCGACAGAGTGATTGTGGGGACTTCCAATTTGTAGTCTTTGAATGAAATTTTCCAGGACCAGCTGTCTGAAAGGAGATGCTGAGACTTAGCAGTATATTGAATTTTCCTCTCCCCCCAGCCCTTTCAAATGAGGAGAGTTTCACACCATTACTGACTTTTGATACTTGGAGTTGCAGGCTGATCCTTCCCAATATTGTCCCAAACCACTGCATGCCAGAAGGCTGTGTATCACTAGCAGTGCCAAGAAATTCCCCAAAATCTCTGCCTCATTTTCTCCTTGAGCTCTTTCTAGTAAACCAAGTGTAAGGATGACGAGAAAGCCCACAGTAGCTACAAACCCCAGTGCTAAAAATCTCTACTGCCCCTCTGAAAAAAACAGTATCCCTCTTGACAACAAGCAAACCATCATTTTTCTAACAGATGCCAAAGTAACCAGAGCCCTGCAAACTGACAAAGAATTCACTTGTAAAACCAGTCATACTCTTTTCTGCATACTGGAATCCTTCACTTATACAGCAGCGAAACAACCTTCTTTATTCAGCACTTAATTCCTCAACGCTTAACAGGTTTATCTCTAATAAAAACAATTTAAATGGAAAGTGTGCTATAAAGCAGGATTATTACACTTCGGTAACTGCTTTATTCCTTATTTTAACATATTTTCATTTTTTTTTTCATGTGTATTTGTTTTCTGGAGCTTTTTTAAAGCAGTCAGTTAAAGAAAAGAAAAAAAACCCCAAAGAAATTATTTCACCAAATACTTTCAAGTGTTTTAAAAA